CCGAATCCCCCTGCTACCGAGGGTTCAGGCCAGTTTAAGGCCCAGGCGCCCTGAGGTGCGCTAGCCTAGTAGTAGTAGTAGTAGTAGTAGTAGCAGCAGCAGCAGCAGTAGCAGCTGTAGCAGCTGTAGTAGCAGTAGCAGCAGCAGCAGCAGCAGCAGCACATTAGTACTGCTCGCTGTCTTCATCATCGTAATCATATTCTGAATTGTCATCGCAGTCGACGCAGTTCTTGCAGCGGCCAGAAAATGTTACAAGCAGACAAAACACGCAAGCGATCCTGGCTTCAAAATGTGCTGGCAAGTTGCAGAAGCCAATCGCTTGCCCAGGGCGCTGTGAACGCCAGATGCCCCTCCTCGATCAGGTATCAATGTCTAGATCAGCTGCGATCTGAAGGTCTGCTTTAAACTGAGAGAAGGCCACCAAGGTGCTGTTCGCCCTGCCCGTAGGGGCTGGGGAATCAGGCCTGGCTGGGGCAAGTCCAGAAACCTCAGCGCGGTTTAGGTCTGAGGCTTGAGGGCTTAAGCCAACTTATGTGGCTTCTTTGGCAGCCTTCAGGGTTCGAACGGGTAGAGTCACGGGTTTGAGGACTAGGTCCTTTACTACTACGATGAGGCGTCCAGGCTTTCGTAACTGCAAGCAAACTTTTCCTCTCCGTCTGACCCTCTTCTCAGAAAACAAATTCACGGAATCGATGCACTACTATATGTCTTGCTTCATGTTAGAAGCCTAGGCTGGGCGCCCGGCGCAGCGGCTTCCGCCTCGAGCTTTGCGACCCATTCTCGAGGTAGCAAGCTCTCAAGCACCACCTCAGAGTTTGTGAGGGTTTTAGGCTGAGGAAGTTGTAGACATGGTGGGAAGCAATAACAGCAGACAGTTCAACCTTCTTCTTATTCATTAAGGCATTCAGAAATTATCAGCATGTGCCCTTTCCTCAAAGACGAAGAGCGGCAATGGGAACCAAGCCGCAAAGCCGTTGCTCTTCATCTTCTCCGTTGCCTCCGCAGCTATTCTGCGCTGCTCGGCCTCGTCAGCATCGTCAAAGCCCGCACATGACCTTACGGCAGAAAACATTGAATGCGCCAGATCGGCCCTGCGTTGCATCCCATGGACCATGGAGGCATGGCTAGCTGTTTGTCGACCGCTCCGTGCAACCAAAAATCACTACAAACTGTTCGGCCGCAGGGGATCGGCAGGGCCCATGCGTGTAGAACTTGGGCCGCCGCCTCAGAAGTCGAGTCGTTTGCAGGAGGCTGCTGTCGAAAGCTGCGGCCGAGCCACGGCGATGTCTCGTTTTCAGCACCGCCGTCTCCAAAGGGCTTCAGCCCAAGGCGGTCCGCTTCTTCGGGGGACATCATGACGCCCACCTTGGTCAGACGCAGGAGGCCGTTTCAATTCATTGGACTTCAAAGCGCCTCGAAGCCCGCTTCGTTGACCAGGTGCCGCGCAGTCGGCGCGTGGCCTGAAGATGATCATACCAGGTGAGAACTTGCAGATCCTGCAGCCCCACAACTATCTGCACAGCTCGCCAGTAGCCTGGACTGCGAGATCTGGTCTGAAATGGAGTTGCTGCCACAAAGCTCCTGCAAAACGATTGGGGACTCCCAATAAAAAAAACACAATCTGCCCCAGCAGCGCGAAAGCGCATTCAGCTTGAGCAGTGGATGAGCAAGGTCAGCTCAGGCGCAGCTTTGTCTGTATTTGGACTGTAGACTTCTCAAGAAGAAAACCAAATGAATGACAAGGACAAGGACGAGAAGAACAACTTGGAAGATGAGGAAGACGATGAGGACGGCCAGGACGACCAGGACGAGGACGACGACAAGGCGGACGAGGACGACGAGACCACCACCATGACAACGACAATGCAACACTCTCCAGCTTGGACCTGCATTGCAAATCCAAATTGCGAATCTGGGTCTCAAGGCTGCTGCCTTCTTCAAGCCCTTTCAATAACTGCAGCATGTTTCAACAGGTTCCTTGCTTCAAGGCCCCATTGCCTCCGTACCGCAAGCTGTACGCCGCAAGGGCTACACAAATGAACAAGACAAGAAGATACCCAAAGGCAAGACTCTCCTCTCTGGCCTCTCACCCCGCAGCCTGTGTTATGCTGTGGCCGTGATGACTAAGGGTAGTCCAGTGCACGTCTCCCCCCAAATAACACACCCGGCCTAGAGGTGTTTTAGTGTTGGGGGTGATATCTATTGTAAGAGCTTGCATGTTCTTTTCCATTTCATACTCCTTTTGGGGGTGTATGAAGGGAGATGTTTACTCCCACCTTAACACCCCTGGAGCTCCTACGAGTGCCGAAGGAGGATCGCAGCGGAGCTATGAAGGAGCAGAATCCTGGAAGGGGTTTTGTTCAAAACCTCGGGCCATGCCTACTGCGATTGGAGGAAATCTTGCATCATGAAGTGCACTATAGTGGGGATCTTAAGTGGTGCAAGATTTCCCGCATCCAACGTAGAGGGCAGCTGTAAGTCATTCACCCGGCGAGAATAACACCAATGCTTACCCCCCTTATCTGCCTGCAGGGCTTTACACGAGAAAGCTTTTGCTTGGCTTGATGTGCGTTGTTCTCAAAATCAAGGTTGAGAAGGATCTGGGTCCCAGAAGGTGCCCTCAATCGCTAAATCCCTAAATCCTAAATCCTTAAATCCTTGGGTATATACTGCCATTATGGCACCTTGTATTTCGGGGTGCCAAAATAGGACCCTAATTTGGGGAACTAGCCATGTGGTGTCAAGGCCGTCTGCCTCGTTTCTGGCAAGGTTTCTATTCGGGTGTCTGCTTCGTGGGTTTTTCCTCCGCTTTGGGTTTTCTGGTAGGCGCCTGATTCTAAACCTTACTGCGTTTGCTTTAGGATTGTTTTGGGGTTTGTGTTGGAGCTTCTACGGGAGATTCTGCTACAGTTCCCCTCGCAGGGCTTCGATGCAGGTGTACATCAGGTTGACAAGACCTTTTGGGGCGCGACAACTTAAACTAGCTGAGCTGAGACGTGCTTGGAATGTACCCCAAAAACCTAAATTCCTTATTACAAGGAGCCCCCAAAAGGGTCCCCAATTTCTGGGAACCACCACGAGTAGGCACTTGTGAGGAAGGCATTGCGCTTGTTTTGCATCATGTCGAGAATTTTGTGTATGTACATATATATCCTGCTCAAGATGGGAAAAGAAGTGTAGGATGCTTATTGCAAGCGGCCCAACAAGGTGGAAGGGACCCTAAACCCCAAACCCTAGACCCGGGATTTAAAGCTCGAAGACTGTCCGACCTGCACAGGCCAGGTGGAACCGCCATCGCCAAAGGCCGTGCGATCCTTGTCAGGCTATTATGCTATTTAAGGGTTTCCCAAATTTAGGGGTACCTTTTGAAGGTCCCAATACTAAGGATTATGCCATTTTGTGGGTCTACACTAGGGTCCCCTTGTTTTGGGAAACTACCATTTCTAACTATGGAGGAACCCCAGCCCATTGACAGTAGGGTTGGGGGTTGGTTGCAAGATGAGCTAGTCTAAACTCCTACTATCCCCCTTCATAACCCCTGTCATAGTCCCTATAGATTCCCCTTTATAGCCCCCCTTAAGGAGTTTCGCAGATGGCTTTTATGAGTTGCCGAGCTCTGGCTCTATGGAGCAGCGTTCATGGCCAGGCACGCCCAAGATATTGGTGATAATGGACAAGAAAACGGAAACTACTGTTTTGTACAGGGGTTATAGACTATAGTATATAGGTGTGATATTGAGATAATGGAAAAGAAAATGGAAACTACTCTTTAGGGTTTAGGGTTTAGGGATTTAGGACACCTTTTGCGACCCCAGATCCTTTTCAACCTTAAACCCTGAGGCCTAAACCCTGTCCCCGTGGTCAGTCTACCTTCCTAGAGTTGGGAATAAGGGAATTTTCCATACGGGGATCATATATAGGGAGAATATTCCCTACTTCCCAACTGTTCCCAACTATAACACTCATAAATGCCCTATTGAAATGTAGTAGTTTCCATTTTCTTTTCCAGTATCCCTATAGTCCCCATATTATCATAAGCTACGGCTGCCAAGACTCTCCAGGAAACAGAGGACTGAGCCAGTCCAAGCGCGGACTTCCGCAGCTTGGCGCGGGCCATGGCTAGCATATGAGCTATAGTCTAAACTCCTTAAAGGGGTTATATAGGGGATTCGATAGGGGAGTATTGTAGGGGATATTAGGGGGGATGCTAGGAGTTTAGACTATAGCTCATATGGTTTGTCACAGCTATGGGGCCGCAGTTGAGAATTTTGGGGCAGTTGAGGGTTTTGGGGTTTGTAGGGGTTTATGGTTTAGAGTTTGGGGTGTTAGACTCTTTGGGAATGGTCAGAATAAGCAGGACCCCAAGTTCAAGACGCAACCCTAAACCCCAAACCCAAAACACACAGCTCTGAATTCACGGCTCAGGGGTTGGGCTCATCCCCAGGGCCTCTACCATGCGTATCCCTCCTTACTTGGGGGGATCATGATCCAGTAGTCGGCCTTTGAAAGCTGGTTCTTGAAAGCTCCATGCGGCTTTTAAGTGGCTTCTGAGACCACTTTGTAAGATGTGTCTTTTCCGAAAGTTTGTGAATTTGGGAGAGAAACACGGGATATTCGTGTCTCATGAACAGATTATTGTGATTGTCTCCGTGCGCGCTGAGATTGAGTGCTGGGTGATTCGCACCGAGAAAAACCTTGCCCTAAAAAAATGATTCATTCATGGCCGCCATCATGGAGCCATGGCCAATGTGCCACTTGCAGCCAAGCAGCTACAGAACAGACAGAGAGCAGAAGTTACGTTACATGTCATGCACATGAGAAGTTCTTTGGCAATATGTGGGAAATGATCGTAATAGAACATAGAGGCCACCAGTGTCGATTGAGAGAGCAAGCCCGCTCCTCCATCTTCCTGAGCTGATGGCAGGGATGGCTACTATTGGCACTCGCTACTGGCTATTGTGGCTGTGACGTGGGCAGAGCGGCGCATCTTGCAAGTTTGTTCGGGAACTTAGTACCCTGACGCAGATGCACAACTTGCCACTACTGCTGCAAAGCTCCGTGCTCTCCGGCAACCAGCAATGGCAACAGTAACTCCAGAACGGCCTGCACCGCTTGAGCTCAAAATCCTAAATAACCCCTTCACAACACCTTTAACTCCCTGCGTGCCCCTTGCTGCAACTGAGGCTCTGAAGACCCTGGCGCATCTGCTCCAAACTTTGTGTTGCAAAAGAGCTCCAGCCTTAGAATGCAAACAGACATTATGTTCCACTCATTATATAACAGCTTTGGTTGCCTTTGCCACACAGAGGCAAAGACTAGCATTTGGAAAGCGAGATGACTGCTACAGATTTTCCAAACAGATGCTATATTCCTCTGGCATTGATTGGATGCATGATGCCTCTGTGTCCATGGCATGAAAAGGCATTTGAAATGGCTTGCCCTCCTGCGTACCTCCCTGGTCCCCAGGTCGTTCCAGTTGCAATGCACTGCTGGGCCCCATACGATCCATCACGAAGTATAGAAGAATCCTGTTGTTGTCTCGCTCCCAGCGTTCAGCCTGCCCAGGGCGCAAAGTGGAGGGACTTTACAGCTGGGATATACCTAGTACAGGATAGTAGTTTCCATTTTCTTGTCCAGTCGCGCTATAAATAAGCCTGTGTAGTACTATTACTGCTATATACTACTATTATAAGGAAAACTTTTGCTATCAATCATCGAAAGTGCAAAATCTGACCCTTCATCAGGAAAGTCATCACCCCTTTAAGGGGCTTAGACTATAGCTCATGTGGTGAAAGGCCACCTGATGGATGGACCGCCTTTTGGCGTCAGAACCTCAGCAGGAAAGCTTTGAAGCGGCTGCGAAAATCAAGAATCAAAGGGCTTAGAGTTTAGGAGTCAAGACAAGATCCCAACCCTATGCGAAACGGAACTATATGACCCCACTATATCCCCTACTGTAATATAGTAGCTTCCATTCCCTTTTCCCTTATTCCCCACATCCCCTATATTCCCAGACTGAGTGAGCCCGGGCCGTCGAGCTGGGTGAACGCACCGAAGCCGGCAGGCGAGGTAGCTCCGGAGCCAAAAGCCCTTTGGTTGGTGATGCAGCTGTGGGCTGCGCGATAGACCCCGCAGATCGCTGGCGAGTAACCGCCAGGTCGCCCCAAGAATGAAGTACCCCAAACCTTCCACCGAAGCGGCGCAACCTCTTTTTTTTAGCTTTTCAAGTGGGCTTCCCAAGGCCCAAACAGGCCTAAGTGGTTCGAGGCTTCACGGCCTCCAGCCAAGGAATCATCTCAAAAAAAACAAGAAGCCTCAGCCAGATCCAGCCCAAACCTTGCACCCACCTGGTCTAG